GATGAGACAAAGGAGGAGACGAATTTGAGAAGGAGAACCTGGAGGCTGGGGAAGTAGGAGTAGAGAGTATGGAGCAAGTCATGAAGGAAAAAGCCAGCCCTGCCCCAGTGAGTGAGTCCAGGTGCAAAGCTCAAAGGTGAGTGCAGAACACTGAACTTAGCAACTGGGACTGTGGTGATGGCATCAGCAGAAATATGCAAACATGGCCATATACACTGGACACTTTATATCTGAATCATCTTAGCAAGTTTCGGTAGGAATTACTATCAAAATCTTCCCCTAGGTAAGGAAACTGAGATTCAAAGAGGTTAGGCATTAGTCCAAAGTTATAGATATACCCAGAGGCAGATCCAGGACCCAAACCCAGGGCTGATTTCCAAGCCATTGCTCTTAACCACAATTAGAGGATCTGACTTTGATAGAAAACAATGTGCTCAGCTATGGATAGGGTGGGTATGAAGATGAAGTGGTGCCAGTAGGCAGCCAGGAGTGAGGACTTGTACGCAAGAGAGGTGTGAGCTACCTAAGCTCTTCAAATCTCGGTTTGAATCTCTAGGTTTCCTTTTACCTAGGGGAAGATTTTGATAGTCAAGTGACCTCCAATTAGAGCTGCTCTATTTTTTCTATGCTCCCTGAGCAGCTCTAATTGTTAAGTCAGTCGTGTTTCACTCTTCGCAACCCCGAGGGGCTGTAGCCCGCCAGGCTCCTCTGTCCATGAAATTTCCCAGGCAAGAGTATTGGAGCTGGTGGCAGTTTCCTACTGCAGGAGATCTTCCCTACCCGGGGATCAAAGTTGGTTTCCTGCTTGGCAGGCAGATTCTTAGCCACCAAATGCTGTTAGCAGTAGCACAGCATGTGAAACCTGCAGGTTTAGGGAGAAACGGGCTGCAGGGGCCACACAGCTCCACAGCAGCACGGGCTTTGTGCCCAGGGCCTGGGGCACACCACAACACCTGATAACACAGCTGACCAAAGAGCTCATCAACCACTGGGGCTTCCAGAGTTCTACACGGTGTCCAGTGTAAACCACTGATACCAAACCACTGACAGCTGAAAACTGCAGCACATACTGGAGCACAAGCCACTCGAATAAGCTGTCAACCAACCAACCCAATCAAAAAAATGGGCAGAAAACCATAATAGACGTTTCTCCAAAGAAGAAGAAATACAGATGGCCAGGAGGCATATGAAAAGATGCTCAACATCACTCATTATTAGAGAAATGCAAACCAAAACTACCATGAGGTACCAACTCACCAGTTAGAACAGCCATCATTAAAAAGTCAACAAACAACAAATGCTGGAGAGGATGCTGAGAAACAGAACCCTCCTACCTTGTCAGTGCAAATGTAAGTTAGTGCATCCCTGATGGAAAGCAGAGATTCCCCAGAAAACTGAGAAGAGAATTACCATATGATCTAGCAGTGCCACTCCTGGGCATATATCTAGACAAAACTCTAATCCAAAAAGACATGCACCCTGATGTTCATAGCAGCACTATTCACAATAGCCAAAACATGGAAACAGCCTCAATGTCTATTCACAGATGAATGGATAAAGATGTGGTACATATTTACAACAGAATATTTATTCAGCCATAAAAAAGAACAAAATAATGCCATTTGCAACAACATGGATGGACCTAGAAATTATCATAGTAAGTGAAGTAAGAGAAAAACAAATATCACTCATATGTGGAATCTCATTTTTAAAAGGTGATACAAACTTATTTTGGAGAAGAGAATGGCAGTCCACTCTAGTAGTCTTGCCAGGAGAATTCCATGGACAGAGGATCCTGGCAGGCTACAGTCCATGAGGTTGCAAAGAGTCAGACACGATTGAGCAACTAACACACAAACTTACTGACAGAACAGCAGCAGACTTCCATCAACAACTTAGAGTTCCCAGAGGGGGAGCACCAGGGAGAGGGTAAACCAGGAGCCCGGGTGACACACGGACACTGCTGTGTATCACACAGATAACCAACAGAGCCCTACTATATAGCACGGGGAGCTCTATTCAATATCCTGTGATCGCCTATATGAGAAAAGAATTGAAAAAGAATCAACACATGTATGACTGAATCACTTTGCTGTACCTGAAAGTTACACAGCATTGTAAACCAACTATACTCCAATAAAATGTTTAAAAAAATACTTGATACAGTGTCTCATATGTAAAATCAAGTTTTGATTTAGATTATAGGAATACTAGCTATTTATTAAATTCTTAACTGCAGTTACCATGCTAAATTCTTTACATACATGTTTTCATTTAATCCTCGTAACAGTCCAATATGATTTGATACTGTCATTCCCACTGTAAGGATGAAATCACAGAGGATTAACGGAGGCTGAGTAACTGGCGCAGGGCTGTGCTCAGCTGGCTGGGCAGGGGCCCCCACAGCCTGAACCTTCCCAGCTGGAGGGTACGGCAGAAGACCCAGAAGGAAGAACAGAACTCACCTGCGTAACAGGCTTAATTCATTACTTTTTACGGATCTAAGATAGTTGGAGAGCCTGTTTTTAAAATATTCTTGAACACACCATGGAATCTTTTATTAGTTAGATGCCAGTTTGAAGTCCTAAGTGAGAACCAGGGATTCTTTTAGAACATATGTAACACAATTTAGCAATCTCTACTGAGCATTTTAAAACTACAAATGTACCACACCAGGACTCCCAGAGGTATGGTTCAAATCCTGGCTCTGTGGCTTCTAGGAAATCCCCGTCTCTCTCTGGGCCTCAGTTTTGGTATCTATAAAACAGGGAGATTAGATCTGGGGCTGGGGTTCTCATTTGATTGTGACCACAGAGCTCTTTATTCAAGCAAAGTCTTACTTGGAATCTAACATATAAAACACACTAAACACTGAGTTTCTTGGGTTGGTTTTTTTTCTGTGAGGGGGGACAGTCCCAACAGGCCAGCTCCTTGCTTACCTCGTCGCCCCCACCCCGAAGCCCCTCCTGGAGCCTAAGCACAGAGCGCACAGTTCCAAAAAGCACAGGTGGGAACCCCGGCCCCGCCTCATCTCTCATGAGGCCGTGCGCCTCGCCCCCCAGCCGTGCACGGCGCCTCTCACATAGTAGGCACTTCATAAATACTTGTGAGAGAGAGAATGAAAGATTACCCTGCCTTTTCGGAAATGGGGAGACGCAGTTTTCATTTCCTCTGCTGATTGCCCCAGGTAGTTAAAGTGCTAAGATGGATCCTGGGGGAAACCAAATGTTACATTTATGGAAAAGCTGCTTTTAGATACTGAAGTGGCTTCCAAGTTCAGCGTGGCCATAAGTTAAGGGTCTGTCAGCACTTCCATTATGAACACCGCTTTGTGGTTTCATAACTTAGCCATAAAAGTTTGCTTCAGGCTATCCCTCAGCATACAAATTGAAAACCCTGTTTCAGGCCAAAATGTGGGAATTAGAAAACAAACAATTTATTGGTTTCAGACATAGTTTTGTACCCGTCTTAACCAAATAAGATTTATTATGTGGGCAATTAGAGGGGACTAAGCCACTTGGTTCTTGAAAAATAAAAAAAAGAGGAAAATAGCCAAACTATTTATATTTTAACAGTTGTCCCTGGGTATGATCAATCATTCTTTTGGGTCCTATTTTTATCAAGTACTTTATCCCCTGCATTGATGAGACCTGGAGTCTATTTATACATTGTTTTTCCTTCTTTTTTAAACATTTTCTGTTAATGGTATCAGAATGAAAAATATGGCCTTGTTTTTACCAAAAAGCAAGCAACATAAATGGGACTTATCTCAAAAAAATAAATAGAAGAGCTTAATCTTCTATTTTGAGAATGGCAAGTATCTCATTTTAATGAACAAAAAAGACAACATCAGTAATGAATAAACAGGGATATGAGACATTGTTCTACAGTGTGAAACTGGTTAGCGCTGAGAAGTCACCTGGTCAACTCACTGACTTACCAGGTCAGGAAACGGAGGCCCCAGCTAACAAGAGTCCAGCCTGAACATGTCCCGCAGCTCCTAACCCCGAGGACGAGAGCTGGGTCTTCTACAGCCCAGCTTGGCGATCAGCTCATTCCCGTTTCCCACGGATGTAACCATTCAAGGCCAGGACTCTACGTTTTCCTGACCTACTTGTGTCTACCACACACACACACACACACACACGCGCCCCTAACCATACAAGAGTACGCCGTCCTGCACACAGGGGGTGGCGCTTCGTGACTCTGGTTACCCGAATCACAAGCCATGGCCCATCGGTGCCCTTGGTATGCACTTGTTTTCTGTCCTCTTGGAGCCAAGCACAGTTTTGAGCACCTGGAGACACGGGGTGGGTTGCTGGGTCACAGGGGCTAACCTGACTAGGGAGAGACCCAGGTACTGGGCTTGTGAGCAGCTTAACAACACATGGCTCAGTCCTCTAGCTCAGAAATGCAGCCGAACAAACCAGGCTATAATTCCTGTTTATCTGCTTATGACTGAAGAGATGATGTATTTGTGAATCTGGCCTAGTGCATGACAACACTGTTACAGTACTAGGGAGCAGCAGGGTTTAGAGTCTCCCTACTCTGTTACTAAAGCACCTCACGGGGCCCTCTCACACCGTTGAGAATGTCTGCCTGTACACCTGATTTCTCTTGCAGCCTGCACTCTGGGGCAGGAACCCAGTCTAATTCCTCTCCTTATCATCACTGTCTGGCACAGGGCAGGTACTCAACAGATGTGTGCCGAATGAACAAATAAATGAATAGATGCAGGACCAAATGCACACACTTGCTGATGGGGCCCATCTTCTCTGTGCAGTGGCTTCCCCAGGTCTCTTCTGGGCCATGCATGCCCTAGGCCTCCACACAGTCTCCCCACTCCACAGAAACCAGCCAGACCTCTCACCAGCCACCACTTCTCTTTGCAGAAATACTTTTGATAGAAAGAATGCAATTCCGGGAATAACAGCACAGTGAAACTATTTTCTTGAGTCAAAGGGGAATTTGATTTGGAACAATAGGAAATTCTTAAATACCTGGGTAGAAGATCACAGCCCACTCCAACCTCTCTGGTTTCCACTTCAGTCTTGGACTGGGTTTCTATTAAATAGTCCAACCTGCTTTGTAGTTCATTATTCTAGAGATGAGGGGGAAAAGGGCTGTTAGTAAAGCAAATGTGTTCCCCCACAAATACATATGATACAATTTATATGTATTATCCGGATTTTCCCCTAGATACAGACATCTATCATGGTGTATTTTTAAGTGCCTCTTATACAGTAGGAATTGAAGGAATACATTGACTGAATCCTTACAGATAGCTTTACGCGCATGGACATACATATGTATCCAATTTTACCTGAATGGAAACAAACAAAATATCCTACTCTTTACCATTATTTGCTGCTTTTCGCCCACTCAACAATGTGTTGTGACTCTTTCCATGTTTATTAGTTTTCTTTTTATGTCAACAAACTATTTTAATGGGTTCATAGCATTCCATTGTATGGATCCACATTATTTAACTAGTCTCTTACTGATGACCTTTAGATATTTATCACTTTTTTTGTAATTATAAATAAGGTACAGCTCATGTTTTAAAACTCCCTCAATAAGCTATAAAATGAGTTTAAGTCTGTTAACTTAATTTAGAGGGAAATACCTCTGTAACTTAATAATTAGTATTTTGTAGGTGTGGAAAATTCAGAATCTCAAACATATAAAGTAGAACAAGCTCCTTGGGATTAAAATTAGCATTCTGAAATAGTTTTTTTTTTTTCCAGGCCAGAGCCAAACATTACATAGGTTGATGATCAGATGCTCAGGAATTGGAAATTTGCCCCGTGGGGGAAATGAAGGACAAAGGAGCAAGAGAGTTGAGGATATTGAAATGAAAACAAATGAAGTGCTGCTGCCTAAAACTCAAAGGACAGAAAGACACACCTTTAAAAAAAATTCAGACAGTGGTTATCTCTGTGTATAGAGATTTTTTTTATTTCATTTTTAAAGTTCTATGTATTTTCTGTAATGCTTAGACTAAATTTTCATGAGGCAATAACCATAACTATGTTCCTGACTGTATTCCTCAGAACACTGTAGTATATGCAAGATAAATATGTATTGAATAAATGTATAAATGCCTTTGAAAGTGTGTTAGTCGCTCAGTCATGTCCAACTTTTTGTGACACTATGGACTGTAACTTGTGGTTCCTCTGTCCATAGGACTCTTTTCCAGGCAAGAATACTGGAGTGCTTTGCCATGCCTTTCTCCAGGAGATCTTCCTGACCCAGGGATCAAACCCAGATCAGCATTGCAGGCAGATTCTTTACCAACTGAGCCACCAGGAAATGAGTGTTTTATTTGCATAACCAGAAAAAATTAAGCATTTGTCTTTTCTAAGCTGATGCTGAAGCTAAGGCACTGTATTCTAAGACACTCAACAACACATGAAAGTTGAAAAGTTGTTTGGAAACAGAAGCTCATTTGTTCTGAAAGAGCTCCTGCTCTGGATGGGTGATACCAAGGTGCAAAGCAGCAGCTCTGGTGCAGACTCACGTTCTGCAGGATGTAAAGGTCTAGGAATCCCTTCTGATAAATGGGAAATGGTGTAAAGGAAGAGAATGCGCTCCAGGTTCCCTAGCTGCCGACAAACCATGACTGATCTGTGGGCTTGGCATCCCATTAACAATCAACAATCTCACTGTTTCATTCTTTCTCAGTGTAGACTGTAATCATGAGGATTCGGTAAAATGCTGAGCTGAGTACCTATAGTTAGGGGGCATAAAGGCAAGGTTAGCAAACGTACCCCACTTGGTATACGGTGAGTAGTGGACTTGGAGTCCTAAGTCTTTTGTTCTATTTCAAAGGAATTCTTGTACAAATCAAGCTTCCCTGGTGGCTCAGATGGTAAAGAATCTGCAGTGCAGGAGACCGGGGTTCAAACCCTGAATCAGCTATTCACTGAAGCACTGATATGAAAATCTTTAACTTTTAAAAATGTAATACTATTAGTTAAAAAAAACTCTTGAGTATCTGCTGGAAATCAGGTAGTATGTAAAATCAAGTGAGGGGAGGAAGTTGGCAGCTAAAGAAATAGGGCATAATTTGTAACCTTTGAGGAGTTCAGTCTTTGGGGGGTACAGACATCTAAGCAGAAAACAGAACAAACTCCTAAGTCTCATGTCAGAGGGACCCAGAAAATATCATGGGGGCACTTCAGAGGGGATGTCTAACTCAAAATGGAGGACTGAATTGTCTGTGAAGATTTTCTGGAGTTATGCAAGGGACAGAGAGTAAGGGAAATAAAAGGAATGAGTAATCCAGAATTAGGGAAGAATACTAGGTTGAGAACAGGCACCTGACTGTAGTATACAGGTATGGAGGAGTTAGTTATGAAGGGCTGTGTGTGCCACCACCAAGCCTCTACACCCAGGCCCATAAGACCAAACTCAAATTTTACTTCAAACACTTGGCTCCAAGTGAAAACTGTATTGGGAGGAAATAAAACTATAGGGAAGGCAGATCAGTCAAGGAGGTCACTGCAATTTTCTAGGTAGAGTGAGAGCCGCACTTCTAGTATATAGGAGGAAGCAGTTAAATAAAGCCTCCTCAAAAATAAACAATGGAGAAAAAGACAGTCTCTTCAACAAGTGGGGCTGGGAAAACTGGTCAACCACTTGTAAAAGAATGAAACTAGAACACTTTTTAACACCATACACAAAATTAAACTCAAAATGAATTAAACATCTAAATGTGAAACCAGAAACTATAAAACTCTTAGAAGAAAATATAGGCAGAACACTCTCTGACATAAATTACAGCAAGATCCTCTATGACCCACTTCCCAGAGTAATGGAAATAAAAATGAAAATAAACAAATGGGACCTAATTAAATTTAAAAGCTTTTGCACAATGAAGGAAACTACAAGCCAGGTAAAAAGATAGCCTTCAGAATGGGAGAAAATAATAGCAAATGAAGCAACTGACAAAGAATTAATCTCCAAAATATACAAGCAGCTCATACAGCTCAATACCAGAAAAACAACCCAATCAAAAAGTGGGCAAAAGAACTAAACAGACATTTCTCCAAAGAAGACATATAGATGGCTAATAAACACATGAAAAGAAGCTCAACATTACTCATTATTCAGTTCAGTTGCTCAGGTGTGTCCAACTCTTTGCGACCCCATGAATCGCAGCACCCCAGCCCTCCCTATCCATCACAAACTCCCAGAGTTTACTCAAACTCACGCCCATCGAGTTGGTGATGCCATCCAGCCATCTCATCCTCTGTCGTCCCCTTCTCTTGCCCTCAATCCCTCCCAGCATCAGGGTCTTTTCCAATGAGTCAACTCTTCGCATGAGGTGGCCACAGTATTGGAGTTTCAGCTTCAGCATCAGTCCTTCCAATGAACACGCAGGACTTATCTCCTTCAGGATGGACTGGTTGGATTTCCTTGCAGTCCAAGGGACTCTCAAGAGTCTTCTCCAACACCACAGTTCAAAAGCATCAATTTTTCAGTGCTCAGCTTTCTTTATAGTCCAACTCTCACATCCACACATGACCACTGGAAAAACCATAGCCTTGACCAGACGGACCTTTGTTGGCAAAGTAATGTCTCTGCTTTTTAATATGCTGTCTAGGTTAGTCATAACTTTCCTTCCAAGGAGTAAGCGTCTTTTAATTTCATGGCTGCAGTCACCATCTGCAGTGATTTTGGAGCCCCCAAAAATAAAATCTGACACTGTTTCTACTGTTTCCCCATCTATTTCCCATGAGGTGATGGGATCAGATGCCATGATCTTAGTTTTCTGAATGTTGAGCTTTAAGCTAACTTTTTCACTCTCTTTCACTTTCATCAAGAGGCTTTTGAGTTCCTCTTCACTTTCTGCCATAAGGGTGGTTTCATCTGCATATCTGAGGTTATTGATATTTCTCCCGGCAATCTTGATTCTAGCTTGTGCTTCTTCCAGCCCAGGGTTTCTCATGATGTACTCTGCATATAAGTTAAATAAGCAGGGTGACAACATACAGCCTTGACGTACTCCTTTTCCTATTTGGAACCAGTCTGTTCTTCCATGTCCAGTTCTAACTGTTGCTTCCTGACCTGCATACAGGTTTCTCAAGAGGCAGGTCAGGTGGTCTGGTATTCCTATCTCCTTCAGAATTTTCCACAGTTTATTGTGATCCACACAGTCGAAGGCTTTGACGTAGTCAATAAAGCAGAAATAGATGATTTTTCTGGAACTCTCTTGCTTTTTTGATGATACAGCAGATATTGGCAATTTGATCTCTGGTTCCTCTGCCTTTTCTAAAACCAGCTTGAACATTTGGAAGTTCTCAGTTCACGTATTGCTGAAGCCTGGCTTGGAGAATTTTGAGCGTTACTTTACTAGCATGTGAGATGAGTGCAATTGTGCGGTAGTTTGAGCATTCCTTGGGATTGCCTTTCTTAGGTATTGGAATGAAAACTGACCTTTTCCAGTCCTGTGGCCACTGCTGAGTTTTCCAAATTTGTTGGCATATTGAGTGCAGCACTTTCACAGCATCATCTTTCAGGATTTGAAATAGCTCAACTGGAATTCCATCACATCCACTAGCTTTGTTCATAGTGATGCTTTCTAAGGCCCACTTGACTTCACATTCCAGGATGTCTGGCTCTAGGTGTGTGATCACACCATTGCGATTATCTGGGTCATGAAGATCTTTTTTGTAGAGTTCTTCTGTGTATTCTTGCCACCTCTTCTTAATATCTTCTCCTTCTGTTAGGTCCATACCATTTCTGTCCTTTATTGAGCCCATTTTTGCATGAAATGTTCCCTTGGTATCTCTAATTTTCTTGAAGAGATCGCTAGTCTTTCCCATTCTGTTCTTTTCCTCTATTTCTTTGCATTGATCGCTGAGGAAGGCTTTCTTATCTCTCCTGGCTATTCTCTGGAACTCTGCATTCAAATGGGAATATCTTTCCTTTTCTCCTTTGCTTTTTGCTTCTCTTCATTTCACAGCTATTTGTAAGGCCTCCTCAGACAACCATTATGTCTTTTTGCATTTCTTTTCCATGGGGATGGTCTTGATCCCTGTCTCCTGTACAATGTCACGAACTTCCGTCCATAGTACATCAGGCTCTCTGTCTATC